TTACTATGCAGTTTTTACTTGATTTAGCAAATGCTGCTGTGCAAGAGGAAACAATTATTTCCAACATGCTGAGGCAGCAAGTTTCTTTTTATATCCCTTTATGCTTGAGGCAGTCAAGTCTACAGGCAGTTGAAACTAGACTTATAGGTTATTCACCAAAAATTCACTGCAAACAGCACCTTGAAACCTGAAGACCTACACAATTTAAAGGAACAGCCAGACATTTTAAGCAGTTTACATTATCAATAGAAGCAGCCAGGCAATATGTAACACATTTTGAGACAGAAGGTCAGCAAGGCTTATTACTTTTGAACTATAATGTCACAAACAATATAAACCAAAGATAGTTATAAATGCTCATTAAAGAACTAGGAAATGTTTCAAAATAGAAAGATGTGTCCTATAAGCTCCCCTGAAACCAAATATAAAGCAACTGGTTTCTTCAAGTGTTTTCAGCAGGATCTACCCTGTTTCATCTAAAAAGTGTTCTAACAGTTCTGATCCTTTCCAAAAGTGTGTACCAAAAGTATGTTTACATCAAAGTGGTAACGATAAAGTATTTTATAATTCCAGGTAATTTTTTTAAAGTCCTGCATTTAATATACAAGCTTATAAAGAATTCTTTATAAATACACCTATGCCTAAGATCATGCTGGAATATGAGGGGGCAAAACTGATAGTCTTTGCATAAAGTCTTACTGTATGACTATGACCAACAGTGTATTATACAAAGGTAGAGTTACACTGATGCTGAAAAGGCTGTTCCTCATCTGAAGACTGAGATCTTTCACCAGCAGTCTCCTGGGGAGTAGGTATGTCTTTCAGAAAACTGAAGTCAAACAAACAAGAAAGGCAGAGGAGTGGGTGACAGAACAGGAATCTGACTTTCTTGTTCTTGATCATTCATGTATTTGGGAGGAAGCTTCTACATCATGGGATGTGAGAAAAAAAAAACTTTCCTTCTGTGAACAGGTCAAAAGCTGGGAATCAAATTCCAGCAAAATGTCTGGAGTTGTTCCACCTCTTTGGAGTAGCTATCTCAAGGCAACATGTGGAACAGGGCAGGCCCCTCAAGACAAGACAACAATCATTTTATAATCCATACTGCCTTTGTGCTTCTTACTTTCTCTATTCCATGGTTGTTCTCCTCTAGTACTAAATTTAATAAAAACTTGTATAAACTACCGTCTTTCTTGGTCACTCAAAGGTGAAACAAAGGGAAGGGAGTTTTCAGAGGATGTCAGTACAGTGGTAGCACCAGTACTCAGAGAAAGATAACCCCAAAAGGGAAGACGAAATTCATAAGGAACAAAGTAAGGAGATCTTTGTGCTCATTCTCCTATCCCCTCCACCTTACCCACTCCCCTCCTCCACAGCCAAAAGACACAAGAACAAAACCCCAGAGTACAACCTGGTTAAACCTCGGATGTTAGAAACCTGGTGTTTCTAAGAAGATTCTTTCACAGTAAAATGGAAGTAAAACTTCTAATACTACCTTATGGCATCTTCAACTCCAAAGTACTGGGTAAGGCAAACATAACAATATAGCGTTTTATCTTTTCAGATATTCTTAAAGTTCAGAAAATACAGAATTAATCAGATTTTCAGGTAAGTGTAATCAGCAATTAGGTGAGCTGCTACAAAGTAAAAGTTTGTTTCCAATACCAGAATATCCTTCTCAAAGAAGAAACTAAATTTATATACCACAAAATGCTTCAATCCAATTTTCAAATTTAAATTAGAAGTGGTCACCATGGCTTGGTGGAAATGAGTACTCAAACTTTATCCTGGACAGCTGGGCTCTATTCTTGGTTCTGCCACTTATAACTCTGGGCAAATTGTTGATACTCTCAGTGCGTCAGTTTCCTCATTTGCATTTGAGGGAGGGAAGTTATACAATTTCTAATTCTATGGAATACCTTTTTCCAAAACACAAATACAGCTGATTATGTTCACCTAACATGTTTTTCTTTTTTTTCTTCTTTTTTCTTTCAAAAAGTTGGTGGAAATATACAATTCCCCCTTAAGGGAAATCAACAAAGAGAAAAAACAAAAAAGCAGAGCTAAGTAAATCTGTTCTCTAGCTAGACAAATTTAGTCAAATCACTTCTCACAAGGTTTTTCCATGCATAAAAGTAAGCATTACAAAGGAACAATGTACCATTTAATGAATTATTTAGAGAGAACCACTATACTAAAAAAGTCACTGAAATAAAAAAAAAAAAAAAAAGGACTTTAAAGTCTGCCAGCGAGGCTACTGTCAGAACTGAATTTTAAAATAATGATTTCTCTGGGGGTTCTAATGAAGATTGAAGACTTAAGTGAATAAATAAACTAGAATAATAGATCAATCTACATAGATCACCTGTAACCCCTTGAAGATCCTATTTTTCGAAACCTAAGCTTTTTAGCATGATGTATTTCCCTAACCTAACTAGTTTAGGTGAAGCTGACAGAACAGATTTAATAGTTTAGGCGTTTTAGCATGTACTTCCTTTTAGGTCCTACAAGTAATTACATGAATAGACTAAATACTAAGAAAAATGGTTTTATCAGTGACAGTGACAGAGAATCCAAACTCAAGGTGTCAGAACTGGGATAGTTCCACAGATTACTCTTGCCTTTGAGTCACTGCCATATCAAAGCAACAATACTGGAAGACAGAAACACATAAGCAGACAAATTGCAACACTAAATGACAAATGTTACAATATAACACTGCTGGGGATTTTTAACAAAACAACAATGAAGAAAGGAACTCTACCTAAGGCGTGGGTAGAGTCCCTGGCTAGGGAATTCTGATTGGCAGGGGTATTCCAAGATTAGCTGTATCAGACTTTACTGAGAACCTACAATGTAGTGGCTCCCTGGCACTACACATACATAGAAAAATAAGCAGTTTCCCAACCTTGAGAAACTTGAGTCCAAAAAGGAACAGTTTAGCATGTGTTGGAACCAAAATAATGAGACTAGCTTTTCTAAAGGAGGCGGGGTCATGCTGGAAAGCCGTGAAAGACCAAGTTTGTCAACTGGTTTGAAGAACTAAAGCTCAATCTAATAAAGAAAGGGTAAAAAACTCAGTGATCTAACATAATCTAAGACAAAGCTGACGATGGCACCTCCTACTTGAGACGTCCTACTTGAGACAGTGCCTGTCTATGCAGTCCTGGAAACGCGTCACTGAATTAAACGCATGTTTACAATCGTAATGGCCGTAAGGTAAACTTAAGGTAGAGAGTCCAGTGAAAAGAACAAAAAAATAAAATCGAGTAAAGTGAGCGTTTAACCCTACAGTCTGTTACACTAATGGTGTTCTTGCAGAAACTGCAGGAACAAGAACGTTGAACATTTAAAAGCACCAGTATGGGACCCACCACCCCGCCCTCCCAGCGCTAACCATTCAATTCCACCACTCTCTAGCCAGGTCACTTTTGGAAAGTTACTTAACAGTTCGTTGCCTCAGTCACCTCACCTGTTAAATTGGGTATCTGTGGAGCCAGGGGCAGCTTCTTTCAAAGAGTGGTGTCATTACATCACTCTAATCAGAAACTTTATTCACAGAATGAAATCCACATCTTTTAAGCACGTGGCAACTCCATAATATGGCCCCAACCTTTCCCATCTCTATTCTCGTTAGACACCCTCCAATTTCCACCAAACATATGGATCTAATACACGTTCTGCAAACCAATAATCACTTTTCTACTTCTGTGCCTCACCTCCAGTGTCTGTCTAGATGCCTTTTCCTCATCTTTCAAAACCCACCTCCCTAGAAAATTAACTCTCCTTCCCCCAGTTCCTCAGCACACGTGCCTGATCCTCTGCACAATTTACCACGATTTCCCATTTGGGGGGGTTGTTCTTTTAATGCCTCCCTCACTCCCCTGTTCACTAAGATAGTAAATATCCAGACAGCAGGGGAAGATCTTTCTTATTTTCCTTCCCACCCATCATCTCAGACTGTGCCTGTCTATGCAGGCCTGGAAACGCGTTACTGAATTAAACGGATGTTTACAATCGTAATGGCCGCAGCTCCAGATACTGCTTAATTTCGCATAATTTTTTGTGCTTCCAGGTCTTAAAATCTTGACATGAAATGTCTGTAAAAATTGGAACCCCGCCATCCTTTCCAGAAAAGTTCTACGGCGCACCCACACGAGTTGACAACGCGATCATTCTCAGCCTCCGAAGTTGCGGGTGAGCCCCGGAGGGCAGCCCCACAGGTCCGCACAGCGCTCGGACAGGAGGCGGACGGCGGCCACGGCAGCACCGGCCGCACTCCCATCCGCCCTCAACTTCCTGCCGGCCGCGGGCTCCGGCGGCGCCCGTCCCTCGCCGTCGCGCTCGGCTCTTCGGCCCCGTCTCCTCCCGTCCGGCCGCGGCGACATCCCCCGGACGGCGCTGCGCGTGCCCCGGCGGCTCCGTCGGCCTGGGCCTGGGCCACCGCCCGCCCCGGCCTCTCCCTAGCCCGCCGCCCGGGCCCAGGCCGCACCGCCACCGCAGCCCCGAGGGGACAGGGCACTCGCTGGGCTCAGCGTGGCGCCGGGGGCGGAGCCGGACCGGAGGGCCCGCGGGGAGGCCAGGGGCGGGCGGCGGCCTCCGCCTACCCGACACGCACCCCACCGCCCCCAGCCCCAACCGTCCCTGGGGCCCTGGCCCGCGTTCCTTGCCGGGCGGCCGGCGGAGCTCGCCACTTACCAACCCGCTTGGGACAACGCCGCGCTGGGGACTCCGGCCATGGTAGCTGCTGAGGCCGGGGGTAGTGGGGGGCTGTGGTGGGGGTGGGGGGTAGGCCTCCTACTTGAGACCAAAA